GGCCTATAATTACCCTTCCCAGTGTCCACTATTCCACTTCGCCCTTGACACTGAGGGCAATATTGTTTTTCGTTTCACCCAACCCCTACTACAGAATAACGTCTACTTGCCCGCTTTTTATTATTAATCATTTTGATAGAAATATAAATTCCGCAAATATTCCCATGTTACACTTGAAAAGTCAAGTTGGCGAACACGCGTTTTCGGTAATTCTTCGTCAGGCCAATACAATTACATGAAGGGATGAAAATGTACAAAATCAACAGTGTTTATAGATGTCTCAAGAGCTATTAAGTCATTAACACTCATCATCCCCACGCCGCCCGCATGACAAGGTCGGCGGGTGTTAGTCGTCAGAGCTAGGGGAGGGGAGGGAGGTAAGAGAATCTTTGAGTGATGTTCTTGGATTGAGTACACGGAGTACCCATCATCGTGATCAGGGATTTGAGGCGGCATGGCTTTATCACTTGGGGTTAGCGAGGTGAGACCCGGTCGATTTCGAGTTCTATCCTCGCACATTTAATCGATACGAACCACCGAGTCGATGCCAAGAAAGCATTTCTGGTTGTCTACCGGACACCAACATGCATCTCTAAAGGCCTACGCCAACGGATACTAACAACGGCAGAGGCAGTAGCTATACGGTTAGTGAATCCGGTGTTATGCTGTCAGAAAACTCTGACACAAGCGCTTTCTCTGCCGTGGCCAACGCCAACCCCAAGTGATAAAGCCATGCCGCCTCAAATCCCTAATCACGATGATGGGTACTCCGTGTACTCAATCCAAGAACATCACTCAATAATTCTCTTATCCCCCTCCCCTCCCCTAGCTCTGACGACTAACACCCGCCGACCTTGTCATGCGGGCGGCGTGGGGATGATGAGTGTTAATGACTTAATAGCTCTTGAGTCACCTATAAACACTGTTGATTTTGTACATTTTCATCCCTTCATGTAATTGTATTGGCCTGACGAAGAAGTGCCGAAAACGCGTGTTCGCCAACTTGACTTTTCAAGAAATATAAATGTGTAGGCCTGAAGGTAATTTATTGAAAGCAGACGTATGCACACCAAATTGTCTTTTGACAGACTATTGAAACAGAAAACACATTTATTAGCCTTTACAAACCATTCGACCGTGGCTTCTATTCAGTCTGAAGCGCATGCCACAAGCATTTCTCCTAGTGAAACGAATCTTGCATGCAGACAAGTAATACCTTTCAGTCAAAGACTTTTGGCGACCAGACATGTTGGTTATGCAGCGCGTCTTTCGGCCAAGGTTACATGCGATTCGGAATTAACCGTACCAAAGTTAGCATTGAGTTGTCGGACTGCGGATGTCCCAACAGTGATGATAGCGTGCTCGTACGGATATTCGCTAGTGGTCAGCAAGATGTCTTCGTGCATGCAGTGACCTTGACTCCTAGGGCTTATAAAGTAAATTAACAATGGTTTGTAGTGGCTGGAAAAGGCGTTTTGTTTTAATGCGTCAAAATGCGTGACGTTAAACTTGGACAGGAATTTCAATACCAATTTGTTACCAAATTGTATTCTCGTGGCCACTTTGTTTCTTCTAATTCTGCTCGTCAATACACCCGTGCATATTTATCCAAACATTAACCGGTTTATTAAAAACATTCGTGACTCCGTATCGTTCCGTGTCTAACTATTTCCACTTTGATTCATACCCGCCCTTCTCTTCATTGATCACATTATTTTAGCCTGTCCTTATTGGCTATGCCCTCTGCCTAACATTTTCAACCAACACAAGTGCTATCCTTCACTCTCAGTGTCAATTCGCCAGTCATTTACTAAAATTATCCGACCTCAAGTACAACGACATCGTTCACTCAAGTCCAACGACTCCACCTGCCGGCGAGCCGATAACCGACATTCATATATTTGATCTTCCTTGACCGTGCGGACTGGTGATATTGCGTTGTGGCTGCGCGTTATGGAACGGCGTCTCGCCCTGCGCTAGACTTACAGGGGAGAATACGAAATTTCATTGTGCTGCAGAAACACTGCCAATGGATATCGATACGGACCTTCGCGATATTGTAGATTGTCCGCCCACAGAAGCCCCGAAAGCGGCCTTAAATTATGCATTCATCTGCCGCATTTCCCAATCAACGCAAAGACGTCTGCATCGCTTGATTCCGAAGAGGACCTTGGTGGCAGGAAGTCTACGCTGCTCCACGATGGCATGATGGCGCGAATAAAGAACAATGAAACTGTCTCAGATGCATTCACAATGACCAACGGAATGAAGCAGGGCTGCATGCTCGCGCCCACTCTACTCAGCCTTACGTTCTTTGAAGAAGCAGACACGATCGCCGGGATCGTGTCTCCTTCTTCAAGACTACTTCCTGGGACTCGGCTCTTCGCTTCTTACTTTCTTTGCCTACCGTGACGAACGCCCTGGGATCCGCATCGCCTACAGGACGGACTGCCAGCTCCTCAATGCACTTCCAGTCGCATGTATCCACAACTACCGTCCATGAACTTCTCTTCGCGGAAGATTGTGCTCTCAACGCGACCACATAAAGGGGCATGGATCTCATCGCCGTCGCCGCCGCCGCCGCCGCCTGCGACTACTTAGGCCTGTTCATCAACACGCAGAAAACGGTGGTTATGCATCAACCGTCACCCACGGCTGTCTACGTCGCACCCCAAATCAACCTGAACGGCGCCCAACTGCAAGTCGTGGACAACTTCGCCTATATTGGAAGCACACTCTCGCGCAACACAAACATCGAGGACGAGGTTGCCCGTCTGCTGTCCAAAGTCAGGCTGTAAGCTTCCGTGTGGAATCGCCACGGTCGCCAAATGATCAGCAAACTCAAGATGTACAAGCGGTCGTCTTGACAGCACTTCTGTACGGAACGGAGACCTGGACTGTCTACGCCAGCCATGCGGGGATGTTTAACCACCGGGCTCCGTTCTCCTGGTCGCCAGTCTGGTTGTTATCTCATGTCGCCTTCTGTCAGCTTAACTAACACCTCCTGCCAGTTGCTACGCACGTGACATGGCCACGTCGTGGAGACAGCTTGAGACCAATCTGCGTTGTGTCATTTGCTGATCGGGATTGTAGGCGGACAAAGGTCATGTGTGCACGCACGCACGCACCTCGGCGCACATCCAAAGGTTGGTCCTCGCCTCGCTGAAACCATTCTCGCCACTGCCTTCCATTCAGCTTCTGCAGCCCCCGTCACATGCTGTGTCTCAATCGTCTGTTTCCACAGCAATCAACACCTCCTTCATTTCCATGTGCGTAACTCTGGGTACAACCATTCCATTGTGCGGTTAGCTGACAATGCCCACTATCAAAAATGCATGCTCCAACTCCTGGCCATTATTATTATTACTTAGTCTTATTATTATTATTATTATTATTATTCTGTTGTGTCCCGCCAGGCGCACGAAATTTCTCGCACCCAACCCAGAAGGCACCGCCGTCCATACCATACTACCACATCTCTCTTCGCCAGCATCTACTCTAAACATGACCACACTCAACACCACACCACGCTGGCACGTGATTGGCACATCTCTCCTCGAAAGCTGCAAGTGTTTCCCGGCTCCTTCTGCATGTGGCCCCTCTGGTGCATGTGTGATCCGAGCCTGAGACTGTCACGATGCGTTAAACTCCGTGATGACTTGCAAGACTGCCAACTACCGTTGGAACGCAGGCCTTGCATTTAGCCCAAGGTACGTTTGTGCTCAATGGTCGACTGGTGGACTGAGAGTCAGGCTGGAATGCCTCCTTCTCGACATGACCTCTGACACTCTCTCACACACACTTGAAATGCATGTCGCCCACCCCCTTGTGTGTGAGATCCTGACGCTTGTGTCTGGGGAGGGGGGGGGGAGGAGGGAGGGGTCAGGTCATGTGTGTGGCACGTCCAGGCGAAGCGGCTAGATTTGTCGGTCATAGCGTCCACTCCCACCTGACCAGCTCGGAGTGCGATTGGGACTGAGGAAGTAAGACACATAACTAACACATTTCGGAACTTGATAGGAGACTATGCCTCCAGATGGCTGAGAATTCATTGTTTCAGGGTGTCTTGTTGTTCACGTGTGATCCGAGTTGATCATCATCACCGACTTCGAGACACGATGCGATGGCTGTGTGATCATGACAGATACGGTTCCTGACCTATCTGATGATGAATAACCACAAACTGCGCACTCGAGTCCTTGTAACGCACGAACCACCCACCCTGCATCCACGAAGGTTACACTGGCTCGAACGAACGACCAAACTTCAATAGACGGCAGAGTTTGGTTTCCGCCATCACCGACATGATCTTCGCCGCCCGTCAACTGCAGGAAAAGCGTCACGAGATGCCGACCTAGTTCTACTCCACGCTCGCTGATCTGATGAAAGACTTCGACATGATGCATCGTGACAGACGGTGGAAAATTATGCAGAAAGTCGTCTATCCCGAGCGATTCACTCAGATGGTGTGTCAGCTCAACGATGACATGATGGCGCCAGTCACGGACAATGGAGCTGTCTCGGAGGCATTCGCTGAGAACAGCAGAGTGAATCAGGGCTGCGCTCTCAGACCTAGCCTCTTCCAACCCGTTGCGTGGCACTTTTCTAACAATCAGTATAACAGTTCTGCATGCGCAGATAGCGCGAACAGCAAGGGAGTTCCACCCTTTTTGAACTATCTCGGGTCCTCTGCTCAGGGCAATTGCGTCGGCAGTACCCACCCTATCCCCCTCCCTCTTCCCCACACACACACGCACACACACACACAGTAATCCGCTTATCTGCCACTCAGAATCAACGACAACAATCGCCGGGTCGGATCTAATTTCGTTGCCTTACCTGCAGTAGACAGATCCCAGCCTAACCCCATTACCCTTATCCCAACTCCAACCCACAACCCTGATACCTAGTCGCAGTCCCTAACCCTAACCTCCAACATGTACGGCTACGAAATAGGATCTTGCCCATCTCCGAGATACTTTGCAGTGAATCATTTTATTTCAGTGAATAGATTTAAGAATAAAGTTTTCGACAGAGGACTGAAAGAAATCAGCATGCAACTTGTGTGGCAGCTGCCAGCCAGCCTTCTGATCCGCGTCAGACCTGGCGGGCCAGAGGGTTGAACAGCAGCCCGAACAGGCGAGGAGAGCCGATTCAGTCGATTGGCTGTTGGCATCCTGGTATCGCCTTGCCTCAGAGTGCCGGGATGCAATGTGCAGTAGTGGCATCCCGAGGAGACGCTGCGGCAGGCAGCGGAGATCGGCAGGACCCATACGTCGCATCTCCTTCGTCTCAACGTAGGCAGCCCAACTATCCCGCATGTACGCTCTACCATAGACAGCCTGCAGCGGAAGACGGCGGCTGTCTGGCAAGAAGTCCACCGAACCGGGGGTGCCTCCCATAATCTGACCACCATTCCCCGATCCATCCTCTGCGCCAATATCTTCCTCCAGCTCCCAGACCACCAAGCCCTCAATCGAGCCTGAATGCATGAATTAAGCTTCCTTTGCATGTCGGCGTAAAATAAGCAGGTAGCAAATGGAAAAGACTTGACGGTAGCACGCTGATCACACACACACACGAAATAATAATGATAGCATTTCCCATCATTGCGCTTTCATGTTCAGGCAAAATTAATTGTCTAGGAGAGCATTCAGTGACCCATTGAAGTGAAAAATCGGTAGACAGGAGAAATCCCTTAAAATGTGGTAATTTGTGGAGGTATTTGGAATACTGGCCGAGTAGGTAAAACAGAGGAACTGGCGTAGAAACTGGAGCATTCCTTACTAAAATAAAACTGGCACACTTAAATGTGCCATGACGAACTAGGAGTGGCAGCTTGACGGGGCACCTCGGTACTTCCCAGAACGGAAGGTCAGGCTGAAAGGGCTGTTTCTTGATGTGTCCTTTCAGGTTTTCACAGTAGTCAGAGGTAAATTTGAACTAGTTTGGTTGCATTCACCGCGCTGTGTGCGTGTGTGTGTGTCTAAGGAGTACAGGTAATCAAATCATGAGGCCAGGCAACTGGCCATTTGACAGTGTCCACAATATGCGCATTCTAGAACAACAAATAAGCAAATGCGCCACCAGCAGCAGCAGCAGAGTGAGTCACTTAAAATGTGACTGACCGTCCATATTCAACTCCGATGCTGCTCGGATGGCTGACAGGGCGCCCTCTGACCAGCCGATGCAGGAAAAGGGCAGATGACCCAGCTGGCGCATCAAATTCACGCCAACTCTGGCATCCTGCA